GTTGGCTCTGCACCAAAGCATCCCAAACCTTCTCCGCAACCTAACCTGGCTCTGACCAAAGCCTCCCACACCTTCTCTGGAACCTTCTCTGGAACCTTCTCTGGAACCTTCTTTGGAACCTGTTGAACCTGACCTGCACCAAAGCCTCCCAGACCTTCTCCGGAATCATCTCCGGAACCTTCTCGGGAACCCTGTTGAACCTGACCTGGCTCTGCACCAAAGCATCCCAAACCTTCTCCGGAACCTAACCTGGCTCTGACCAAAGCCTCCTGGAACCTTCTCTGGAACCTTCTCCGGAACCTTCTCCGGAACCTTCTCCGGAACGTTCTCCGCAACCCTGTTAAACCTAACCTGGCTCTGCGCCAAAGCCTCCCACACCTTCTCCGGAACCTTCTCCTGAACCTTCTCCGGAACCTTCTTCGGAACCCTGTTGAAGGTGACCTGGCTCTGCACCAAAGCCTCCCAGACCTTCACCGGAACCTTCGGAACCTTCTCCGGAACCTCGTTGAACCTGACCGGCGCCTGCACCAGTGCACACCGGAGCTATTCTGGGCTGAAGGCCCCATTAGCTTACGCTGTTGGGGAAAAAGAAAAACAAATTCGAAGTGAAACCAAAGGATACCAAGGGATACCAAAGGAGGCAAACTTTTCCGATTCCACTGTTCACTGTGTCCCTCACTGCGAAAGTCAGCTGTGTGGTGAGGTGACCTGACCGGCGTTTGACCGGTGCCATGACAGCTTCGTGCCAGCAACACAACTGTTGAGGATGAGATCCCAGCCAGCTGGTTGCTGTACCGCTACAATCGCCATCATCATAAAGCCTCACTCCAAATCTCTTAGGTACAAACTCTACCACCATCCGTCTGGCTTTCCAACACCACAAAGGGAATGGTCAAATGCGAAAAGCGATTTGTGTGCATACAGACAGATCCGCCAAATCTGTTTTGTGCCTGCATGGATGCTCGTTAAATGACTTTCTCCTGTGAGATACTGTGAGCTCATAGTATATAGCCCATGTTCCAAACAAATCCGCGAAAGACAACTTAACACAGTTTCGATAAAGAACAACCTTGCTGAACCAGACTGCTGAATTGCAAATCGGGCAAGGGACTCAATCTGCGCTGTTGCCCTCAAAACTTCCTGGCAAACACGGTGCACACGGATGAATGACGCTCAGCCAAAATTTCAAAATCGTTTTCATAATCAAGTCAGACATGCGAAGGCAAGCGTCCAAAGGGGCAAATAGCTCATGTGCCAAATAGAACAACCCGATACTTGAGGACAAACACTGCGGGCCAATCCAAAACAATAGACCTTTTGTGTGCTTGCTTCCACTCATCTTCCGAAGTTAGACTGTAGCTCTCGGTAACTTTGGATGGCAAAACATCAACACGGCCGCCAATTGATTCTGCTCACAACGCCCTCAGTAGCTTTTTCCTTCCGCTTTCATAGCAAGCCCGCTGCTCACAGAATTTAACTGTTCGCAGAGTGCTGCTGGCAGTGTTCCAAGTCACCGCCTGCGCCGTCGCTCTCTTCCTGCATCTCTTCTCTTCTTTCTACCTTTGCCACTCGTGACATCTCGTGACTTGCCAATACTGCAAATCATAGCACGATTGATGAACAAACAATTAGAAATTAGAACAAACCTCTTCATGTAGTCACTTGCATTGCTGCGTCTCAGAAGTGCTAAGTCCATGGCGATGCCTATCACTTCGGCGCCTCGAAGTCCAAGGTCATAAAAAAATGTGTTCCCCCTGGGACTTCAACCTTTTTATCTTTTAGGCGACATCATTTCTCTCTCTCTCTCTCTCTCTCAGAAATTTTGTTTTCGCTTTACGGCAGCATGACCGCCCCAACTTGTGCCGTGCCTATTCCTGCTCCGGTGGCGATGACCTGAGGTTGTCAATGGGCCGCTGGACTTCCCAGGCCCTGAACTGTTAGAATGAAGTGCCTCTTCGTCCTCCACGTCTGCCTGAGTTGCACATACATGTGCGAAGAAAAACACACACACACACACACAACTTTTGGGTTTGATGACACTGATCTTGGCATTGGAGGCCTGATCCCCTTAACAATCTTAACAACATGTCACTCCTCCTCATTCGAGCAGTTTGCTAGCCAACCTACCTCTCTCTATCTATTGATGTATGCCATGGGCTGGAATTCTACATGAAGAGTTACTGCACACAGCTTTCCAGAATCAAGCCAAGGAAAAATGCTACGTCGAGTTGCTCCTATTTTTTGGTGGGTGCTGGGACAGGTTTCATGCTTGAATTTAGCAAGCAAACGCCACGCGCTGTAAATGCCAATGCAGCCCAGGAGATCACTCTCCCTTGGATGTCTTTACTTCAGGACGAAATGGCGCCTCTTCTGCGATCATCGCTGGCACTTTCCTCTTCATAATCATAATCACCTGACAATCACAACACTGAGAGAGGTTGTTTCTGACGGGTCGTGACAAGATCACAACAAACACCTTAGCTACCTTGTGGCAAAGCGACCATGGTTCTTACCCAGCACTAATCAACAGTTCTTGGAGCAAGACTATAGTACTCATAGTCGCTGTAATAGTCGCTGGCATCCTCCTCTCCTCGGCATGAAGAACTAGTGTCAGCAGCAAACATATTTTTTGCAGTTGCGCCGCATATGCCAGAATTTCATCCCATGTCTGGACTGTGCTGAGGTGTTGGCTGGCATTGCGACCTTAGGTACCATCTGAACCACATCCAACCATCCTTCAGCTACAACGGACGTGTTTGTTCCACGCTTTGTTCATGCTGTTGGACTTTGAAGATTCTTCCATTGGGTGGCAGGCCGCGTTTCTTGCTCTTCACTGCAGCCTGAAAGTTTAAAAAGTCTGCTACATTGCATCTATCAAAAAAATACTATCCCAGTGTTTGAACTGTCCCATTGGACAAACACCTGCAGTCAGCCTCGAGAACCGTAATTTCACATGCTTCTGAACGAGCTTTGCCTCAGCTCTGTGCTATCGCCAGAGACATTTCCATTGCAAACATCCCGGCCACTTAGCTCTTGGTGTCAAACCCATCCTGTCATCCTTTTCGCGGAATTGAACCTTGAGCATTCGCACCAAGACGGACGCAATGCAGAAAACGGATGCAATGCAGCATGGTCTCAATTGGCTCAGTTCTGCACGCGGTCGCCAGTGTTCAGCATCCCAGCCTCCCTCGCATGAACAAAAATGTCTTGACCTGCTGGTGGGCGATAAAAGCCTGAACACTCATCAAATCCCATGATCATAGGATACCAATGGATACCAGGTATGCATACCGTAGCTCCACTTTTGCATTGCAATACCCTGTGCGTCTGTGACGTTCAGGTGCCCCACCACCATCGTCGGGCGAAATAAACCCAAACCTCAAGCAGCAAGAACTAGGCAAGTCTAGTACCTCAGCACCTCCACGGAATTCCACAAATAACAGTGAACCTGTGAAGATTGTGAGTTCTGCACCCCTTCCCTTCGACCCAGCGAACGACCTCAAATTCAAAAGGATTTTTTTTCAATCTGCGTGCATGGAAACATATGGAAACAAGTTGGTTGTCTTTGTGTTTTGGCTGAGGGTGTGGCGCGACCTTTCTTAAATTCCGATTTTCCCATCAGATGTTGAAGCAAACACTTTTGAAACGAACTGCAAAAAATTGACGTATGCAAGTAAATTTGACAAAACACAGCGGTTCATAACCCCCAGCGACAATTTCCCGATTTATTGGGGGGCATGATTGACCTCATCTGCAAACCCTTGAGCCAAAAGCAAACATTTGGTCGATGATTTTTTTTTCTGTCGACCAAATCCTTAAACATGACATGCCATTGGTACATCCAGCATGTGACATGTGCCTTTAAATTTGGTATGGTGATCTATATTCCGGGACATAAAAAATAGAAGATATTGATGATGTTTTTCAAAAAAAACACAAATCCTCCTCTGTGCCGAGCGCGTTTCAAATAGAAGATATTACCAAAACAAACCGATTCACCAACAATATCGTCTGTTTGAAATGAAAAGTGTGCCGGAGAAACATGTTTGATGAAAAAACATAAAATCACACCAAAATCCGTGACCATTACACAATCAGGGAGTTATATAGCATTATATAGCACCAAAACGGTGATAAATAATTACCAACGTTGGTACCCTCCCTGTTTTTTGATGCAAATATTCGTTTTGCTCCACTTGTGATGCAATGCTCCACAACGCATGGTTTAGTTTAGAGAAAAATCATCCATATGGGTTGTCGTAAATTGATTCATAGGTTCAAAATGCTGACAGCCGTCAGGTGCACGATTTTTCGCAATTTCCCACAACAATTGTCATGTTTTATCGCCAAACCCAGGACGGTTCAAATAAAAGCAATTCTATATCCATAGTTTCCATTTGATTGGAATGCTTCAAAATGGAAACCCAATAGGAAAACCCAAACTGCAAAGCATTGTCTCGTTTGGGTCTCGTTTGATTTTGCCTGATCTGGAGGGGGAAAAAACGGTTTTACTCCACTTGTCTCGCAACGCTCCACAATGCAGAGTTTAGAGAGGGATCATCCTCATTGTTTGTCATAAATTGAATCATAAATTCAAAAGATCCTGCAAACGATTTTTTTGCACATTTTGGCACCCATGTGCACAATTTGTGTCAATTTCTCACAGAAGTAATCCCGGTTTATCACCAAAACTCAAAAAACACTGGTTTTTTAACTGCATATTTTCCAGGGACTGCTCAAATAGAAACAATTCACTACTTGAACTCCTTGAACACAAATGTCTTCTATTTGACATGGACTGGGGAGTTGAAGCGGTTCATTTCAAATAGAAACCGGGTCCTCCGATTATTCCGGTAATTGTTCCTGTCCTGCGTCTCAAAATATATCAACCCAAACCTAAACTGCACTTAAATCCAGATGTGCAAAACACGTCGGTCAAAAGTCAAGTTTAGGAACACATGTTCACATTATTTTGTTCCCACTAAATACCGTCGCTTTCGTGATGTGCTATGAAAAATCAAAAACGGGTCCACATCGAATATTTCCCGCAGAAAGGCGAGAAGCACCACCCACTGATTTATTGGTGAAAACCAAGCCACGTATGGCAACACCTTCTCATGTTTCATATCGTGGTGATTGATTCAATCATTTGATGTTGTTTCGGCATCATGACTGTCATGCTCCAAATTTTCAAGTCAATATTTGTGCTGTTGCCACTTTACTAGCAAGAAGGCACTTCTGGCACTTCTAGACCATTAACGAATGATGCAGCATCGTAGGCCTCGGGTGGTTTGACCTGCGGCTACGACATGATATCGAAAAAATAAAGACCTTCTTGCAAAGCCCCGCTGGTCAGGGAACTACGATTGGTGAATGTGTTGGTGCCTGATCTTTGTCTTTTCCGTTGGAAGGGGAATGGGGAGGTGGCTACACGCAGGAATTGGAAGGCAGTTCTTAAATCGTTGCCGGGTGAGCGACCGTCTCCCAACAGACTGTTTGACAGGCAACAAAACGTGGCCAAAACGACGGAGTTTGCGATGGCCTGAGTACATTTTGAACACTGAGTTATTACTTGGCCTGACTCGCCCTCACGACAGCAATCTAAAAAAATGCCAACGCGGTACAGGCCCGAAATTCAATACCTCGGCGAACGTCCCACAAAGATCAAAAATAAAAAACAATCTGTGGGGATAATTTGGGGGGCCGTCAGTTCTGTCCTGAAAGCACGTCGCATCTGGAACCCTGCGTTTGGGTTGCCAGGTTTGGCAAGCGTCTGGAATTCCCAACGTCACATAGCTGGAACCAAATTCAATTTTTGTTGCCCGACAAAGGCCAAAAACATTGACCACTAGCAAGTCATTGTTGCGAAGCCCGCTCTGATCCAGAACCCACGACTATCTTTAGGTCGGAATCGACCTAAGAAGCATCTTGCCTCCTTTTGTTTGATTTATTGAAAATGTGTTATGGAAATTTTGGCAAAAGAACACACAAAAAGATACGACAATGACATGATATGAAATGAGATGATAATCCATCCAAATTTCAAGGGGGCCGGGTTGGCACCTAGGGTTATATAGACATAAAATTGTTTTGAAAATGTTTGCGCCTACAGAAACTTAACTCAGCAACACAAAAAACAATCCTGCTCAATCTGCGGCCCCTACCCGCCCATTGAACAATTTCAGCTGCTATAAACCTATGGTATTGACTTCAGTACAGGTAAAATGCGTTGTCAGGATCTTAAATTTTTCCAAATCAAAATGATAAGATAAAAAAAATGAGGCGAAAGCACCACAGGCTTCAAGGCTTTGTCTACATGCCTCTTCATTCCTGAGCTGGTGCCAGCTTGATAGCCGGTAGTCGCCAAATGTGTGAAAGCTGGCAGCTTCCACATTTTTGCCCAGTGGATATGAAAACCATGTGAAGCGGATAACGGCCCACCCACTTTTGGGAATATTCGCATCGTATTTTCTTTCAGCCCACGAATCGAGAATGTTGGTGGTTTCTGCCTGCTTGATCCACATCAAATCAAAATCAAACGGTTTGGAAAATACACGCGCGGAATGCTCTGCTAAAGAACAGGCTGACGCTGTGAGCTGCCAAACCAAGAGGCACACGGATGCAAGCCTCCGATCATCATGTGTGGCCTTAACATCCGCGACTTTTGACGGATCCGGCTGTGCCAGAAGGCATGGTTGACAAGCAAACAACCAATTCACAATAAACTGACATCAACAAACCTGCACACAAAGCAAGCTGCTCGCCTCTAATGGGGCATAGCTCTCTTCGAAGGAAGTTTCCTGTATGCGGTACACCTCGCGCAGGCCATGTGAAGGCCCGCATCCAATCATGAAGTCGCCTTCCCTTAGTTCTCTGGGCAACGTCGCGAATGATACGCTGACCACCTGCAAGGTGCTCTCGGAGGACACGGGAGCAATGCCGCACGGGAGCCACGTGGCGACGAGCTCCAGAATACAAGGGCCGCCCGCAAATATCCGCAAACAAGGCCCAAACTTAGACAGTGTTTTTTGCTCACACCCTAGGACAAACGCGCTGTCGATATCCGGTCAAAATTTCCCATTTTGGCTCAAGCCTCCACTGGGCTCGAGCCTCCACGGGGCGTGGCCGGATAGCCTGTTGGGGGGGTGAACCGATCGAGCCATGTCATGTTCTATGCGACCGAGATCACATTCCTGTGTTCAGCATGCTATTCAGTTGTTGACTGCCAATGTGCCCCAGCAGCATTCTATAACTCGCAAAATTGGTACATGTGGTTCTATGGCCGTTATTTCTGCGATTGCATTCTCTGCTGGCTATTTGCCGACTCTTGTCCACGCTGCTCTACTGGGTTTTGCGGTGCACCTCTTGATCATGCATGGGAACTTACTGGAATGACTTTGGTTTCGTTAATGCCACAGCGATCAGCTTCGGCAAAAGATATTCCCTACAGTTTTTCTCGTGGCAGTTCGCGGTGGCCTGTATTTGTTGTTTCTGGTGATGTGCAACCGCTTGGTGCGCTAAGTAAAGCCGAATTTATGGAGACAATGCGTGTGATCTCCTTGTGGTCCATGTTTCCAGATGGAATTTTGCTTACGGAATAGGACTAGTCAATTGTACCTTGATGCCTTATCTGGAGAGCTGTTGTCCTCCTGGATTGGTGCGTGACATTGAATTCTCTTCCGCAGATGATAAGTGCCAAAGGCTACGGATGCATTACTCTGGCCAAATTTGATGTGTTGTTCATTAGTCGCTTCAGGATTGTCTTTGCTTGACAGCCTGATGTGATGTAGCAGTTAGTGTCCCCGAGCATTGCTATGACATAGCTGTCATTGTTTGCCATGGTTTTATCACCTAGCAGGGGGCTGCTGCGTGATGCGGTTAGTCTCCAGCTGTGGAACGGAAGATATGTCCCTGGCATGCCGTCAGTTGTGTTTAGTTCGTGCTTGTTGTTATGCTGCCTTTGACCCGCCACCAGTGCTTGGGCTTAGTCAGCGTGGACTCTTGCCACATGGAGCACGTCAAAATTTGTTCCATTTTGTTCTAAGTTTGCGCTGGTAGAAAAATACCAAAGGTGGTCATATGGTTCGCCAATAGAATTCGGTTGCGGATGCGACATGGCACGAGTGACAGGAAAATGACGCGAACAACAAATACCAATGAGTTGCAGGCGTGGCTCAGCCACTGTCGGCCAAACTTCTGTCCGACTGCCAATTGTATTAAGCGTTTCGAGACATCGGAAAAATTGTTTTTTTACATCCGGTGCACTTCGCGCATATCTTCAATCAAACGGGACCATGCTGACCGCACACGTAGGCTCCTTGACTCCATGTGAGCTGCTTTCGCACCAAGCTGATGCGATCAAACACCTGCCGCCCGCCATCCCCCCTGGTTTCACCAAATGCCTGCGTACACATTTGCCCCTGTGGCGCTATCGGTTTATCGCTTGTGATCGGCGTTCCAAAAATTGAGCAATTTGAAGAACTATAATGACCCCTGGTGCTTCCAACTGGAAACCAAATCTTAACTTGACTCAACGATCCAAATTAAAGCTGGTTTCTGGCCACTTCATCCGAGCATTTGTCGTCGGTCCTGGATGATTTTCGCACATACATGTTGTAACATATCTTGGGAAGAAAA